TGTAAAGCGCATTTGTACATCGTTTCTCAAAACATTTTCTCTCCATTTAAACCCCCGACATTAGGTCCTCATTTTTCCCCTCCCTCCCCGCTCCCTTGGCCTCTTGTTATAAATTATTTTTTGATGAAAACTAAAATTACCAAAGCAATTCCCAAAGGACCTAATGCATGCTTGCCTAAAAACAGGTCATTCTTTATAAGATGCCTGTTATAGAACATGAGTCCGTGGCCACGCAGAAATGGTGCAAAAAGGAACCCTGGTGACACAGTGGCTAGGTTGCTAGTCAAGTAGCAAATGGTTCCAACCCACCAGCCACTCCACAAACACAACAAACCTGGCAATCACTCCAATAAAGATTATGTCTAAGAAACCCTATGGTACGATTCTATTCTGTCATATAGGGGGGCTGCTGTAAGTTGGCATCAACTCAACGATAGTGACAGGAAGAGTGAGAGTCAAGCTAATAATGCACAACAAACTTACAGATTACACAGACCTTCAGGTATATACCTCCATTCACTTCCAGCCTAACAAAGTCAAGGCTGTGAAATAATGTACATTTCTTTTTATAAAGGTGACACCTTCTTCAAGCAAATATAACTTTTCATGTGTCTTATATATTAGGATGTGCAATGACTGGCTTCTCTGGAGAAATAGTATGCAGTTTTGAGAATCTTCAACAACACTACAGGAGACCTGCAGTCTGCTGTAATTCATAGTGACCACAATCGTCCTAAAAAGATGTCATCCAAGGAGAGTCACTGCCCACCAAAGCAGGCTATAGAACATTCACTTTGTTGATTGTGCTATGACAGTTGACCCTTGTGTCCCTACAAGACCATGAGTCTGAACCCCCAGACCCAGCAACTCATTCTTTCAAGGTATTTGGTCATATCTAAAATATTTTCATAACTTTGTACCCTGTTTGTTCTACCACATTCATGTGTGCATTTGCAGCAAAATAAACATATACAAGTATTTTCTGTTAAACTTTTGTATATTTATGGGTATAATTCCACCCTCCCTAGCCATTCAGCTTCCATGTCTCTCCATGCAATCCATTGACAGATTGTCATTATTGCATGGTTGTGTGTCTGAGTGTTTTCCTCTGTTGTCTTTAACTCTTACACTCCCCTCAAAGTCTTCCTCTGTCTCCATGATTTTTTGCTGATCTCCCTCTTATTGTATATTCCATTCTCTTCCACCCAAGTTTACTCATGTCGCTGATCCAGCCCTAAGAATAATCAATCTTTCCTTGACCTCTTAAAATACTTAAAATGCTGGTCTCATACACTATCTGCCCTTTTGTAATTGGCTTATTTTTCTCAATATATTGTCCTCCAGGTTTATCCATGTTATTTTTACATATTCGCTACTAATCCTTAGCATTGCATTGTGTGTGTGTACTATATATTTTTTAATCCATTCGTCTTTTGATGGGCATTTGAGTTGTTTCATGAAATATGACTGTATTTGTTTCTTTGTGTCAGAGCTCTTATTTCTCTGAGATATAGTCTTAATAGTGGAGTTGCTGGGTAATATAGATTTGCTCCTTTTTAAGGGTTTGCCATACCATTTTCCACAATGGTTGCACCATTTTAACCACCAACAATGTCTGAGTCTCGCCATGCCCTTGCCAGGATTTTTTTCCTTCTGGTTTTTATGTGAGATGGTATCTTAATATTGCTCCTTTGTGGTCTTCTTCTTTTTCTCTGACCCTCTACTTTATCAACCATATGGTCTCTTCTGAAAACACACTCAAAGTACTTGAGACCGTTTTGCCATCCTGGCTTTTAAGGAGCATGCTATCTATACTTCTTCCGAGAGAGATTTGTTTGTTCTTCTGATGGTTCTATAGTACATGAAATAATCTTTACCAGCATCGTAATTCAAATTCATTGACACTTCTCTGATCTTTCTTATTGAATGTCCAACTTTCTCATGCATACGAGACCCAGGCTTGGATCAGATGCACCTCAGTCCTTGAAGTGACACCTTTGCTCTTGAACAATTTCACTTAAGGTCTGGTACAGCAGATGTACCCAGTGCCCTCCTTGAGTGCTGCTTCCATGAGCATCAATTGTGGATCCAAGCAAGACAGACTCTTTGACAACTTCAGTCTTTTCTCCATTTACCATGATGCTGTCTATGCGTCCAGTTGTGAGGATTGGGATTTTCTTTGCAGTGGGTTGCAATCCTGAATGCAATACTCGGTGCTACCACCCTTGATCTTCATCTTCAAGTGCTTCAAGCCCTTCTCACTTTCACCAAGCAAGGTTTTGTCACCTGCAGACTGCAGGTTGTTAGTAAACCTTCTTCCGGCCCTTATGCCGTGTTCTTTTTCATATAGTCCAGCTTCTTAGATTATTTACTCAGCATACAGATTGAACAATTATGGTGAGAAAATGCACAGTGTTCCTGATTTAAAATCTTGGAGTATTTCCTTGTTCAATTTGAACAAATGCATCTTGGTACAGGTATAGGTTCCACATGAGCACAATTTTTTTTTTAGCTCTTTTCTTATCATTTCAAATCCATCACTTGAGAAGTTGAAGCCGCTAATGTTTCTTCTAGTTCCTGGGTGCATCAATTATACACTTCCAAATGTTTTCTCCAGATTTCAATGTAATGTGGCTCTTCTTGCTCACTGAGATTTGGGTGTGTATCCTCTGAAGAGGACCCTGATCTCTGCGTGGGTGGGCTGGGTGGCATGTAAGTACCAGGCTCTTCAGCCAGCTCTTGGTGCATGCTTTCTAGAATGGTCTTGTACTCCTGTCAGGCCACCATTGC